CTGTTGCTTAAATAAAATTGATATAGACTTCTTTAGTTGTTGCCAAAACTACTTTTTTAATAGCTCTGTAGATTCTACTAAAAAGCTAAACTCACAAGGAACAGTTTTTTTTAATTCTATTTTATATTGCTCATATGCAATCTGAAGCTTTTGAATCTAGTTACTACTCAGTGAAGTTTTATTGTATAAAAATATACTAACTATATAAACTTTATAGGTTAGCATTTTGTAGAAATATTAGTACAAGGAATTATCAGAAAAAGTTCTTTATTAGGATAATTCTCATTCATTAATTTTAATTATTTCTGAATTTAGTTTATTAATATCAATATTATTTAATATAATAGTTATATCAAGACTTTTATTTACAAATTTTAAATATTCTGAATTAGAAAATTCATTTTCAAAAAAATATTATTTGCTAAAAAATAACTTAGATCTAGTTCATTTTCATCTGAGAAGTTATAATTATTATTTTTAAAAAAATATTAAGGTCTAATAATCTAATGTAGTGAATAGGTTGTCAGACTATTATATAATAAATTTGGAATTCAAATCTAACTATTAACAATTTGAATAATTTTTCAAACCTTGTATTCAACTTATAGTAAACTTTGTTCTGAGGGTTGTAACTTTATAAATTACATTACACTAATATTAATCAGATATTAGAATATAACAGAATATTAGAGTTGTATTACATAAATAAATTGAGATAGGATCTATAGATAGAAGATCTGCATAGTAAAAATCTCAAGTTATATAAGTAGTATAGATTTTAATAGTCATACTAGTTAATATCTAATTTGGCAAAGAAGTTTAAGTATAAAGAATATAGATTAAGTAAGTACAAGTAAGTCTATTATACAAGATTATATAGCAATACCAACTTGGCTTAGTAGCTAATTAAATTAGAAGGATTTGTTTCATAAAACATCTAGAAGAACTAAAGGACCAACTTAGTAAAAGATCATAGCAAGAACTAAGTTTATACAAATATTGAATAAAGATATATGCAAGCTAAATTAGGATATAGCATAGCATAGTTAGGTATTATAATATCTATTTATTAAAGAGTATTGAAGTAGTATTTACTAGATAAGGCTTAGGCTTATAATAGTAAAGTTTATAACTAATATCAGCTTGAGTATCTTCTAAAGTGAAGTAGTATAGAGTTAAGATTAACTTAATAATATAATAAATTTAAAAGTAATATTATGTCAAAGAGTTTAAATAGATAATCTTTTAATAGATTTCAGATATAGTAGCTAGTATAGAATCTTTGAGTAAACTACTTAAATTAGATAACTTAAAATTGTATATATAGCTAGTTTTATTTTCATAATATATATCATGTTTTTAATATAAAAACTAATAAAAGTTTGGCTGATAGTATTTGTATAAAGTAAAAAAAAAAAAAAAAAAAAAAAAAAAAAACAAATATAATACATCTTCTAACTGAACAACTCTTTCTACTAATCTTCTGTATACAAACATATATAAATAAAAAACTCTAAATTATAGAGAAAATAGTCTAGAAAATAATACTCATAGCTTTAAAGAAAAGAAAAAAAAACAAAAAGAAGCTTATAGTCTCTTTGAAGACTAAGACTTCAAAATTTCTAATAAAGAAGTTATAGAAAAAAAATTTAAAGAAATACAAATTTTTTCTTTCTTATAAGTATTTTTAAAGATTGTACTTAATTCTGTTATATAGATCTATTTAGTTATATAAAAATTATAACATGTAATAGAATATAAACAAAGAAAATATAGAAAAAGATATGTGATAGATAGACATGTAAACAAAACAAACAAGAAAATAGTTATGTAAAACTAGAAATTAAAGAAGATCCTAAAAAAAAATATAGAAGAATAGAAATTATAGCAAAACAGATTTATAATATTAAAAGAATACTAAAATTATATTAAGAAAAGAAAGCAACTGAGACTAATTTAAAAGGTCTTATAAGAACTAATGAAGTATCTCATATAATAGCAAAAAAATTAGTCAGATTAACTAGAGAAGATATTTATAAACTTTTAGTTATAGAAGAAATATAATATATAATAGGAGAAATGAGTATTGAGAAAGCAAAACTTTGTTGCAAACTTATTGAAAAAGAAGAATATACTCAAAAAATACAACAAAAGATAAATATAAGATAGATAGAAACACTCAAAATTAGAACTACTAATATACATAGACAACAAATAGAGAGATAATAACAAAGTTTAGATTGCAGATAAGAGAAGTACTTAGAAAAATATAATTAAAGCAACAACAAAGAAAGAAGAAATATTTAAGAAAAAAATAAAAAGAAAAAGTAAAGAAGTCATTAAAACTATTAAGGAAAAAGATATAGAAAAAAAAAGATAGAACAAACATTAAATAAACTTAAAGAAAAATCAAAACTAATATTTTTGATAGAAGATTAAACAGAGCAAAAAGAGGATAAAAGAAAAAAAAAAAGAAAAAAAAAGACAATTTGAACTTAGAATAAAATAAAAAGAAAAGAGATAAATTATGATCTAAATAAAAAAAAACTAGAAACTTATAATCAGTAAAAAAATAAAAAAAATAAAAGAAAGAATCTTGTAAGAATCTAAGATTATAAAAAAGAACTATAACTAATTATGCTAAGTAAATATCTAACAAGTTTCAAAAAGAAGATAATCAAATTCTAGTATATAATACAGAATAGCTAGATAAAGATACTATACAAAAAAGTCTAGAATAACTACTATAAGAATATCAAAGTAGCAAAGAAAAAAATAAAAATATTATAAAGAAAGAAGTACTGGAAGAATAAAAAAAAGAAAAGAGTAGTTATAAAAGATATAGTAATATGAAGTAAAAAATACAATTTAAGAAAATCTTTTATAGAAAAAAGAAGAAGAATTTTGAAAGAACCTAAAAATTAAGACTTGAATTTGAGTAAAAGAAATACTAAAGAAGGTGAAATAAAATTTAAAAACAAATAAACATTCTTGATATAGGCTAGTAGTAGCTTTTTATAGATCAGAATTAGGAAACATGCTTAGACATGATACTTATTCTAGAAGAAAAAATGCTACTATAGCAGATCACACTTGAGTACCAAATAGATAGCTAAATGAGTTTGGAATTGTAACAAAGAGAGCAGTTTTAAAATTAGATTAGATTTAATTTTATATATCTGTTTTTTTATCTATATGATATATCTTTTAATAAAATGAAGAGCAAGATCATTTAAGAAAAAAAAAAAAATAAAGTAAAAAAAAAAAAAAAATATTAAAAATTATCACTTTTTTTAAATGAATTATAAAGTTCATTATTTTTTTCAAATGATTATCATTGTTATTTTCTTTAATAATTCTTAATTACTTCTTAAAATAGATAATATATTTGTATAACTATAAGAAAGTTGACCAAATACCAAATTATATAATATAGTTTTGTATACTCTACAATATTAAAACAAATAAATAAAAAAAAAAAAAAACAATAAAATAATAATTAGAATTAACAATTGATCTAAATATTTACAGATTATAAACTTTAAACTAATATTCTAGTTACTTCTAAGTATTTCTTTTATTTATAATTCTAACTTATTTTGAAGAATACTGTTTTCCTTTTTTACAAAATCTTAATACTGTAGATTTCTAGAATAACCATGAACTGTTTTAATAAGTAGCCAAAGATTTATTGCTTTTTTTGATAGTTTTGCCAATAAATTCACCACTAGTATCAGAATAAAAAATAGTTAGATTATATATTAAATAGAAATTAAACACAACTACAGCAGTATTTGAATAGTGCAGGCTCTATATAAAAGAACCTAGAGAAATAGTTTTGTAAATAGAAGATATATTTGAACTATCTATTAAGTGCTGCTATTATATCAATTATATCAATTTATAATATAATAATTATTAAAACTTAAAAATTTTTAATAAATCAATACTAATATTAAAATTTAAAACTTACTTGAACATGATTCAAAAAACCTTCAGACACTATTGGGTGAATAGGTGGGATTTTTTTGATTGCTTGTCTTGTAATACATACTTGATATTCACGTACTGCATCCTCAACAATTTGCTGCGGTATGTAGCAATATCTGACTCGTAACTAAAATAGAAGTTGTTTAATTAAATAACTAATGAAACAAACAAATATGCAAACTAATGGTTAGTTAAAATTATAATAACAATATAATAGTAATTACTTTTTTCCAGGTTTTCTCCTGGCCTCCGTGCTCAGTTTCCTGATGTGCAATACAAATAACTTCATAAAAATTTTCTACAAGACAGATCTGCGTTCCCAAATTATTTTCTTCACTTTTAAGCAAATGAAGCTCATCTGTTGTACCAAAGCAAAGCATTTTAAAGGTATTAGTAACCCAAAATTTAAGTTTTGGATTATGCGAAAGATTAGGGTTTTTTAATATGCTTAAACATTCGTTGTAACGATTCATATCCATTAAGCTTTTATTTTTTCGCTGACTAATACACGTGTTTAAAATTCGTTCAAAAGATTCACGAGTTAGAAAAGTAAAACTTTGCATTTTTGCTATGATTAATTAAAAAAAAAAAAAAAAAAAAGAAAATTTGCTTTATATGATACTACTTTATAAAATACATAATTAATTAATTAAACTTTATTATCGATATAATCAGTCATAAGTCTGATAGTTATTTTAACCTGAATCACTGATTAACATAGGTCATTTATTGATCGGTGGAGATTCAAAAATGACACCTGTCGATTCCGAATTAACAGGAATCAATAAACGACGTACAACATATACACATTAGATTTCATCCAGCTTTTTTTGTATTAGTGCGAGCACATTTTTCACAGGAAACAAGTGATTAATTTTCATTAGTTTCTTCTGGTCTATGCTATTCGAAATGATGCACCAATCGGGTGCAATTTTCGATAGATGCTCAAGATATTCGATAATTTCATCTATTAATTACAAAAAAAAAAAAAAAAATTAGCATAAATATTATCATTGAATAAAATCAGATAATAAAGGCTTACGTTGTGATAATGGAATATCCGAACTTTCTTTTAATGTCGCTACGACTTCTCCTAGATACATAACATTTTTGTTAGATGACGTATACATGCTGTTTTCAAATTAAAGACAATCTATACAAGTTCATATAATTAATATAATCATTGTCATTTGCTTTTAAAGGATACAAAGAGATAGAATCTGTCATATCTAATAAGCGGCTCAACATTGTTCTTTGTTTTTTTGCGGATGAGCTAGCCATTCCTTGAAATGCTTCTTCTATCGTCTTTTGACCTTTAGCACGAACCTTGAAACTATAGATTAGTTAAAAGTTTAATGCATAAAATGTACAAAAAAACCACTTACTCTATCAATCAACTCTTTCCGTCGACGAGAAGCGTTTGATTTACTTTTTTTACTAACGGGAGAAGCCTTCACTTCTTTCTTTTCTTTTGCGTTAACCTATATAGAACTTTCTTAATGTTTCTGCATTCATATAAAAAAACATAAAATTATTTGGTTTCACCCTAACCACGACGCGTTTTTTAGTTGGGGGTTTCGCGGGTTTCGTGGGTGTCGCGATAGTTTTATCATTTTCCAATTTATTTGTGGTTTCAGCGACTTTTAACTAAGCATTAAGAGGCAGACATTTCTGGTTAAGTTGCTTTTTAAACGATAAAATAATATTAACTTACCTTATTACTTTCTGGCCGACTTTTTGTTGAAGCAAAAAATGCTGAAAGTCTTTGCTTATTATTTTCACTTTTTTTTGTTATTTTACCCATAACGGAAGAGTATACTTCTAGATATCAAAAGACAGCTACCCGTTGATGTTCGATTGACCTAATTTAAATAACAACCACGTGTATAGTTGGACCAGCATCTTATCGTTATGTAAAATTAAGTTTTTTTTTTTTCCTTCAATTTTCATGCAAACTTTAAAAAGCCATACTGCAAAAATTTTATTAATACAACTACTTTTGTATCTTAAGTGAAAAATGATCCTAATATTATTCTAAATTGATTAATGTAAAAAAAATGCTTTGTCAATTTGGGCCCTTTTCTCAGCACCTAGCGCTAGCCCAATTCGTTATGCGGTGTAATCTAAATTAGCTAGACCGAAAACGACTTTTCGACTTGATTTGTTTATAAAATTCCGTGTCATAACGATAATCTTCAAAATCCTCAAAATGAATTACTATTATTTAGAGCTGTCTAGAGTAGTGATTTGACTCGTGTAAACTCGTCTTTTACGAATTAACTCAGAATATTTGAACAAGTCAATTATTCGAGTATAAAAATTAAGGTGAATTTACAAATAAGGGCCAAAAATTACAAATAGAGGCCTATAATGTAAATTATTACGTATAGAAGCCAAAAAAAAAACAAAAATTTGCTAATTGATGTACTATAATTTTTAATCTACTGGTCCATTTTGGATAAATGTTCGTCTCGATAAGATGATTGTTAAAATCTAATCACAGGATCAATTTTTTAATAACTACAGTATATAATAGC